CTTTTGAACTTCTGCATAAGCCAAATTTTGGACACTTATGGGTTTTGGAGGGATTTTGCTGAATTTGTTAAGTCATGTAAGTTTGATCATGTAAGTTTGGTCATCAACCTCACTGGAGATGACATCTTAGCTCTACTGAGGTCTGCTGTGAACAATATAAAAGGGAGTTGTTCCAGGATGGACCAAGAACCCCAGGCATTTATTTATTCCTTGTTTATTTTGACATGAAAACAGTTATAAGACTGAATGAAAGGAAAAAGAAACGGTAAATATAATTTCAACCTCACAGTGAAAGTACCGAAACAGATGTTCTTGTGGAAACTCAAATGGGTTTTTCCCCGTCATTTCTTATCTTGTATGTTGAAAGGATTTCTATGGGAAATAAGTAGTCTGTAACCTAAATGGTAATGTTATGGTTGTGATATTAAGGATCAGATTAAGATGTGCATTAGCTGGCTTTGAGGCTTGTTTCCTGTCATATTTACTTACCTTAATAGGTCGTTGCCTATGAGGCTGAGTATATCTCAAATATATTAGTCCTGCGATAGACAGACCCACAAAAAGCCAGTAGCTGAAGGAGTAGTGATTAATGAGGAGGAAAACATCTTCCACAAGGAGATAAAGCAAACTCATTAAGCCCTGGAGATAATAAAACCAAGCAGCTTTTAATATGGAAAGAAATACATATGTTATTAAATAAAGAAGTAATAAAGTTATAAAACAGCCTGTTTCCAACATATATGGATGGGTTTAGGAGATCAGGTCCTTGCAAGAAGGATGTGCTCAAAACTCTGAGAAATCTGTAAACAATATTCTGTGTGAAGCATGTTGGTACCTCTTCTTTAAACGTAGCAGTAAGACCGCCACATGTAGATGAAGAGGAGTAGGTTTTGTGACGTTATGTTTCAGCACAAGCAGGAAACCCTCCTAAGGCGGCCAGATGAGGAGCCCCAGACTCTGCTGTGCTATGAAGAAGGCTGCTAAGAAGATTTCTGTAGGCAGCAGCTCACTCTGTTGTTCTGCTTGGCTTTGGTTTGAAAGCAAACTTTCGGAAGCTCTCATGGTTTACTCATACGTTGAGACCATGAGAGTAAATTCTGTGGTGTGCAGGTATACTATACTGTCTGCCTGGAAAGGCTGAGATGAGACCTAAAATAGCAGGAATTTAACATCCATTTTAACAAACATGACAAACATAAGAATACAGTTCTTGTCCATTTTAACAAATATGAAAAATATAAGAATACAGTTCTCTCTTGATGAGCAGAAATAAATTCCACTGTGAAAAAAACACTGTGATGTATTAAGGGAGTATAGCTCATTTTACAGGTGCAAACAGAATCCCCCTGAGAAGAGTATTCATAAAGAGATGATAACCTGTAGTAATTTATGTGATGTCAAACAGGACCAGTAAGATAATCTATTCATACACCTTATGCAACACAGGGCAACGGGAGACACCAAATAAAGTACATGTTCAGATAAAGAGCAGTACAATTCTTTTGAATGATTCCACCTTCTCTGCTTGTACATATCCTCCTCTTTATTTTAATCTATTAGATTTATGGTTTATCTATTAAAATAACTTACACTAATTCTATACTTTGCGGTTCCTTGATTTTGTGCCAGAAGATTCATTTGTATGTGACAGCAGGAAAAAATCAGTACAGTAGAAGCTTAATTTTAAATGCTTTAGCACTCCTGTTATAACTAGAGTTATGGAAAATCAGCCTATGACAGCATCTATGACATATTCTTCTCCAATGGACACTCGGAAAACTCACATAAAGACGCAATCAACTCTGGTGTGTACTGTTACATGTTTAGTCGTTCTGTTTTGTGACTAATGATGTTTTCTGACTTCATTCTGACTAATGTTGTTCAGAGAGCATGTACGTGTGAATCAAGCCATTCTATTTTCACTGTAAAAAACCCCAAACAGACAAAATACCACCCCACCCCACACCGTACCCCCAATGAGATTTAGAAATTGTGGGCGTGTGAAGAAGATATCTCCAGCGCAGGAGAAGCCCAGGAGAGAGGCTGGGCAGAGGCGAGGTGCTGCCCTCCCCGTGTCCGAGTCCCCAGCTGCCCAGGGCAGGCACGGGGCCGGGTGGTCACTTACATTGAAGAGGAGAGCAGGGATTGGTGTGAAGCGCTTTGCATGAATCAAGCTCAGGCTGTCAGGGAGGTGTCCTTCCCTGGCGCCAACATAAAAAAGCCTGAAAAAAGAATAAGAAAACTCAACCAGACAGTGAATAGTGCCACATTAATTAGTTTATTACTCTATCGTAAATGCTGCTCTCTTCTGAAGTGTCTTCAGTTTACCAAAGGTGCTGACCATGAGAAGACATGTCAGATTGTAACGATCCTTCCATCATAAATGAACAATTTAACATTGTAAAAATGAATGGTGTTACTTTTATGACATAGTAGCAAAGAATGCAGATTAATTATAAATGATTGCTCTTCAATTATTTTAAGCAAACCTTGTATTTCATACCTGGATGTTGCAATTATTGATGAGTTTAACCCACTGTAGCAAGACATGGCCACTGCTATAGGAATTATCCACTTAGCATAACCGAGGGTTTCATTGCCAAATGTCTGTAACAAAAAAAGAAAATATTAGTGAGGCCGATTACGTCAAGCATATGGAAAATCCTGAGAAAATCTCATGTCTTGTGACCCTGGTAATGACTTGAGAAATTCAGAAAAACGGAACACTATTAAAATAAAAATGATAGATACTTTAAAAAACATTTTTTTTTTTTTATTTTCTAAGCCCACTTCAAGTAAATGAGATAATAGATGAAGGTGTATTGGCTTTAATGTATTCAAACAAGTCTTGACTGTAGTAATCTATGAGTTATAATTGTACATATATATAAAATATTGAAAAGATTTCAAAATGCATTTTACTGCATAGTTTTGTGCTGAAAATATTGCTGTAATCCTGCAACATTAAACATCACACACTGTACGTTAGAACAATAGCAAAAGCCCTTAGTTCTTAAACCACTCAGTCTTTCCACAGCTCTTTCTCTGTCTGGTTCTGGTGAAAGCATCTTCTACAATGAAGTACCGTTAAGAGCAGGATTTACAGAGTAGATAAGAGAATTTTAGAAGAGCAGATTTATTGTATATATACTTTATATGAATCTTCTAATATACTGGTACTCTTACACGAAAACAAAGTTTACAATAAAGCAAAAATCCTCAGCATGGGAAATATTTCAATTGTTTTGCCAAGGAATATGCTACCTGAGATTCTTCCACAGTGTCATCCATACAGTAACTTTTATTTTAATCATTTTATGCAACTTACCACAGCCACTGCATCACTTGTGAGGAGAGTTGACATGTCCAACATGACATAGTACGCTATATTGGTCAGCAAGTAAATAATAGTCACAATAGGCATTGAAATTGCAATAGAAAGAGGTAGATTCCTGCAAAAGAAAAATGGCAACAAGATTTCATGTTTTTTGAACAAGGAAAATGTAAATAGATCTTGTTCAAATATTTCAATGGATACCTCCATCACTTTTTGCCACCTGTCATTTTGTGATCGTGGTGTTACAAAATAAAGAGAAACCAACATGTGGAACAACTCCATAAGCAGCTTAGTTGAGTACTTGTGGGTTTGTCACAAGTTTTAAAGTAAAAATCCACATTTCTCTCTGTACATTTTATATATTGTCTTTCACAGGAAGGAATTTAAGAGAACCCTTAAGCAAAGAGATTTAAATGCATACTTAGGTGTTTTCTTAGTTGAGGTATTTTTTCCTGACTCATAACCTACGCATGTCCCAAGACAGGGTGGACTATATCAGTCTCAGCAGGTGAGGCACATCACTCCCACAGGGCTGACATTCTTAACAAGGGGAGTAGATGATATTTCCAGTGCTACTTTGGACTTTTTGATTTTCAGTTAACCACTCATTCACAGAATCATAGAATCATAGAATGGTTTGAGTTGGAAAAAATCTTTAAGATCATCTAGTTTCAACACCCCTGCCATGGAAGGGACACTTTCCACTACACCAAGTTGCTCAAAGCCTCATCCAAACTGGCCTTAAACACCTCCAGGGATGAGGCATCCACAACTTCGTCGAGCAACCTGTTCCAGTGCTTCATCACCCTCAGAGTAAAGAGCTTCTTCCTTAGATCTAATCAAAATCTACTCTGTTTCAGTTTAAAGCCATTGCTCCTTGTTCTATCGCTACTCGCCCTTGTCAAAAGTCCCTCTCCAGCTTTCTTGTATGTTCCCTTTAGGTAGTGGAAGGCTGCTATGACATCTCCCTGGAGTCTTATCTCAGCCTGTCTTCATAGGAGAGGAGGTCCAGCATTCTGATCATCTTCATGGCCCTCCTCTGGGCCTGCTTCAACAAGTCATTCTTATGTTGGGAAATCCACAGCTGAATGCAGGACTCCAGATGTGGTCTCACAAGAGCAGAGTAGAAAGGCAGAATCACCTCTGGCCACACTTCGTTGGATTTAGTCCAAGATACGGTTGGCTTTCTGGGCTGCAAGTGCACATTACCGGTTCATGTTGAGCTTCTCATCTACCAGCACTCCCAAGTCCTTTTTTTTCCAGCACTCCCAAGTCCTTTTTTTTCCATACTGCTCTCAATCCGTTCTCTGCCCAGCCTGTACTTGTGCTTGGGATTGCTCTGACCCACGTCCAGGACCTTGCACTTGGCCTTGTTGAACTTCATGAGGTTCTCACAGGCCCACCTCTCCAGCCTGTCAAGGTCCCTCTGGATGGCAGCCCTTCCCTCCAGCGCATCAACTACACCACACAACTTGGTGTCATCTGCGAACTTGCTGAGGGTGCACTCGATCCCACTGTCCATGTCACCCACAAAGATGTAAAACAGCATGGACCCCAATAGGGACCCCTGAGGAACACAATTCGTCTCCGGTCTCCACTTGAATATCGAGCCGTTGACCGCAACTCTTTGAGTGCGACCATCCAGCCAATTCCTTATCCACCGAATGGTTCATCTGTCAAATCCATGTCTCTCCAGTTTAGAGATACGGATGTCATGCAGGACAGTATCAAACGCTTTGGACAAGTCCAGGTAGATGATGTACAAGCACAAGGACAGGCTGGGTGGAGAATGAATTGAGAGCAGCCCTGAGGAGAAGGACTTGGGAGTGCTAGTGGATGAGAAGCTCAACATGAGCCGGCAATGTGCGCTGGCAGTCCAGAAAGTCAACCGTATCCTGGGCTGCATCAAAAGAAGCGTGGCCAGCAGGTTGAGAGAGGTGATTCTGCTCCTCTACTCTGCTCTCTTGAGACCCCACCTGGAATACTGCGTTCAGCTCTGGAGTCCCCAACACAAGAAGGACATGGAGCTGCTGGAGCAGGTCCAGAGGAGGGCCACGAAGATGATCTGAGGGCTGGAACACCTCTGCTATGAAGACAGGCTGAGAGAGCTGGGGCTGTTCAGCCTGGAGAAGGCTCCAGGGTGATCTTATAGCAGCTTTCCAGTACCTAAAGGGGGCCTACAGGAAAGCTGGGGAGGGGCTTTTTACAAGGGCATGTAGTGATAGGACAAGGGGCAATTGCTTTAAATTGAAAGAGGGCAGATTTCGATCAGATATAAGGAAGAAATTTTTCACTCAGAGGGTGGTGAGGCACTGGAAGAGGTTGCCCAGAAAAGTTGTAGATGCTCCATCTCTGGAAGTGTTCCAGGCTAGGTAGGATGAGGCTTTTGGCAGCCTGGTAGTGGAGGATTTCCCTGCCCAAGGCAAGGGGGTTTGAACTAGATGATCTTTGATGTCCCTTCCAATCCTAACCATTCTATGATTCTATGATTCTATGATTCTATGTCATATTGCTTGGTTTTATTGACCAAGGCTGTAACCCCACCATAAAACGGCACCAAATTTCTTCAGGCACAATTTGCTATTATTGAAGCCATGATGGCTGTCATCAATCACTTCCTTTTTTTCCTATGTGACATAGTATAGTTTCCAGGAGGATCTGCTCCATCATATTGCTTGGTTACAGAGGTGAAACAAGCTGACCTGTAGTTCCCTGGGTCTTTCTTTTTCCTTGAGCAAAATTAAATATTTTGCCAACAAAGAGTAATGCTGAAGATCACATGATAAATCAGTTATAAACCTGACAGAGTCCTACTCTACTGGTCAAAAAATCTGTCCTGGAATAATAAAATAATTGTTCTCTCTGACTGAGAAGAAGTAGGACATTTCAGAGGGCTAGACAGACCAATGTTTCTCCCTGCTTTCATCAGGGATTTGTTCTCCATCTTTAAAAATTCTGGTATGAAGGGCAAGGTGTAAAATACATATAGGCAGACAAGGGATTCATTAGTGTGATAGAATTGGTGAATGAGGACAATAATCAGAAAGAGTTCTCATACTTACTTCTTCTTTTGAAAAAAGAACATTTTTGCAGAGAAAGAAACAAATACAGAGCAGTTTGTCCTGCCATCACCTGTCTTATCATGATGCTCCCGTGATTCAAAGAAAAAGCATGTGTTTACCTCTCAGGATTCTGTATTTCTTCAGAGACATAGTTGAGTATGTCCCATCCCCCGTAGGAGAAGAGGGCAGAGTAGAAAGCAAGCACAATCATCCCTGGGTTTGTTGTTGATCCCTCGAACGGAGCTCTCAGGTTATCCGTTTCTCCTGTACAAATGGCAGGTACCAATTGCCTGTTAGGTTTCAAAGACTACAACATAGAAAGACACTCTCAGCCAAACAAAAGGAAATAATACCCCACTGCATCCAGGTTTCATTACTATTTCTAAAAGTGCACAGCTTATATTTTCACTTGACAAACAGGAAAGTTTTGGTCAGATACCCAGACAGCTACACCAGTACAGAGGAACAGAGAAGACATTTTCCTTTGTTAGTTATTTGTGTTTGGCTTGCGTAATTCTATCAGAATTCACGGTGTCCTCATCTCCTGGCAAACCCCACTGCATCCAGGTTTCATTACTATTTCTAAAAGTGCACAGCTTATATTTTCACTTGACAAACAGGAAAGTTTTGGTCAGATACCCAGACAGCTACACCAGTACAGAGGAACAGAGAAGACATTTTCCTTTGTTAGTTATTTGTGTTTGGCTTGCGTAATTCTATCAGAATTCACGGTGTCCTCATCTCCTGGCATTGCCGTCTAGCCTACTGAAGGAGGGAGCCATACTGAGGTCATGCTACGTCTTGTCAGTCAGGAAGAGGCAATTGGGAAACTCTATTTCAATTCCTGAATCTGTCCGATATTTCTTCCTCATATGTGCTTTTGTTTTCGCCAGATGAATTAGCAGCCAATGGAGGGGCAACTCTTCAACTCATGGTTCTCAGTAGAACATTCTGCCACACATAGATGTTCCCCAAAATTAAAGGAGGAGATCTGGAAATTCTTTCCTTTCAAAGTTCCCCCCTAGTTTAGTTCAATCTGTTGAGATGACAACCTGCAGAATACTGCAAAACAGATGAAATGTTAATGAAACTGCACGAGAATTCAGTGCAATTCTGGAAAAAGGGAAGAAAGGCCCTACTGAGTTTGCAGAAGGAAACTCAAGTATCTAATGTAAATGGAAGTGGAATTAAATATTAAGGAAGACAGAAACATGCTGAAACCTCTATTAGGAAAGAAAGAAAGGTCTTTGTTATAAAATGAAACAACTTCATCCTATGGTTAAACTAAGGAGATTATAGATAATACAAAAGCAGTTCAGTCTTTGAAGAGCAGTAACTACCAGGAGACTGTTTGAACCACGGAAGGTGAAGCTACGAGATGTACACACAGGCTGGGGAAGAAAATGGTTGGAAGGAAAAAAAGAAAAATCCAAAAGGACCAAGAGAAGTTTTTTTTTTTTCACTGAAGACAGCACATATTCAAAATCAGATACATGTACAGTGCTTTAAAACAAGATGCATATCTGGGCACATCAGATGGAATACAGCAGGGCTAGAACATCGTAACCATTCTTTAAATTAAAACAGCTGCTGAGTTTAAAAGACTACATTGACCAGATCACAGCTCGCTCCAGAAGTCTATGTCACTCCTCCTCCCAGTCCTTTCTGTATTTAAGGGCTCGGTTCTGCTTAAAAAAAGCAGAGGCAAGACCTTTACTACCACTAAAAACCCTCAACATTTGGTGTTCCTCACAATAATGTCTCCTCTCCGCCCTTACCCTCCCTGACCCTGTGGAGCCAGGCCAAGGACCCGTCGTGGGTCAAGTGGAAGCACAAGCAGAGGGAAGGGCCCCTGGGCCAAGCTGCATCGTGGCAGCTGCACGGCAGTGAGTGGGCTGGGAGTTTTGAAGGTGATGATTTGAAAGCATGGGTAAATTTGTAACTGTGGGGACAGGGCAAATCTGCTATAGGGGTGACATCATGGACTCACACCTTTGTAAAACCACACCAGCTTCATGTAACTGTGGCCCTTAAGCAATGCTTTTCCTCTGGACCTTGTTCTCACCAACAAAGAGGGGCTGGTGGGGAATATGATGCTCAAGGACAGCCTTGGCTCCAGTGATCATGAAATGGTGGAATTCAAGATTCTTAGGGAAGCAAGGAGGGTGCACAGCAAGCTCACTACCCTGGATTTCAGAAGAGCAGACTTCGGCCTCTTCAGGGATCTCCTCGCTAGAGTACAATGGGATGAAGCACTTGGAGGGATCCAGGAAATCTGGTTAATATTCAAGGATCACCTCCTCCAAGCTCAGGAGTGGTGCAACCCAACAAAGAGAAAGTCAGGTAGGAACACCAGGAGGTCTGCATGGATGAACAAGGAGCTCCTGTACAAACTCAGGCACAAAAAGAAGGCCTATAGGGGGTGGAAGCAAGGACAGGTAGGCTGGGAAGAATACCGAGAAATTGTCCGAGCAACCAGAGATCAGGTTAGGAAAGCTAAAGCCCTGATAGAGTTAAATCTGGCCAGGGACATCAAGGGCAACAAGAAAAACTTCTATAGATA